TTTTATAGCAAGGTAGCAGCAATATTAATAGTTCTTCCCCAGACATCCCCTTTCATTTGCCTAATGTGCAAGCCAGCCACAGTTTTAAGCCCTCAGTTGGATGTAAGGCAGTGTTACCAATTGAAGCCGTCTCAGAAATGGCTGTTTCATGAGGGAGTGAAGTTCTCTCTGGGTATTCAACACAGTGGACCTCTCTGAACAAACCAAGCAGCCGTGTGGTTCAGGAGGAAGGAAAAGAGATGCTCTGTCACTGATAACTTGGGCAGAGGTAGGCAGAGAAAAGGCATGAGAGACAGGGTGACCCCAGAGCTGTGTCAAAGTAACTCTTTCCTTGTTGTCCCTTCATCAATGAAATCAGCAAAAGGTGTTAAAAACATAAGAGCCATGCAGTATCAGGCCAAAGTCCAAGCTTTCTTTTCACTGAGTGGCCCTTGCTATCATCCAGGGGCTCTCTCATTCCTGGCAGTATTCAGACCTTTTGCTGCTCTTCTCGGAACAAAATGCATATTTTAACCAAAGTGCCAAAAAAATTACGCATGTATGTAAAGCCACCGTGGTGGAGTTTCTCAGTAATGCGGTAAGGCATGTACATAGCCTTCAGAGACTCCAGGGGTTCATCACCGGAAACTAACCCAAGGGCTTCCTTTGATAAGCTAAAGGTAGAAGCAAGAACTGTGGTTACTGGAAAGGTACCAGTTGGGTCCCTTGGATGATTTCACTTTGCCTTAGCTGTGCATGGGGAAATTAGATAAGTCTGTGCCCTGCAGTTGTGAAGCAGAAGTCAACAGATGGCAACTGGGTTGAATCCGTCCCTGAGCTGGCCTCCATTTTGTGCAGCTAGGTGACAATTCAGAATCTCATTTTGGAGGTATGTTGTTTTGAGGCCAGAAGAAGAGTTTATTCTGCCCTTCTGTCCTCCGAGCAATTTCTTAGCCTGAATTGAATCTATCAGATGTGTGCCAACTGCTCACTTCTGATTTTTATCCCATTCTTTTATGATCTCAGTTTGGCAAGATTTGTATGTGTGCCAATTAGCAGCCTATTTTGAAAAAGAAATGAAGGATGAAAAGCAATCAGGCAACATTTCACACATTGGGTAAGCACATCTCTTACATGGAGATTATCTCTCTATAGGAAAACTTTAATGTGTGAAGTGCCCCTGAGCCATTGGAAAAGAAACAGCGCTTTCAGATGAGCCACCTGTATTACTTACACCTGGGAAATCTTACATACTTCCATTTTTGGCCTAAGTTATGATGTGAGACTTGTGATGAAAAGATATCACATTAACTCAGTCTGCATTTTCAGACTGAGTAGGCCAGACAGCCAGCAGAGATATACTGCTTCAGAATAAGGACGTTCCATTCTTAATGTCACTGATAGACCTGTTTTTCATGAAATGGGTAGCATCCTTTCTTAAGCCGCTTGAGCTGGCAGCACCTACCATCCCACTTAGCAGTAAACTCCTAAGTGCATTGTGCAAAGAAATGCTTTGGTTAATTTGATCGATTTGAACTTGGAGGTCTTTCTACTATGTACTTCTCAACTCTGTAGACCATGTTTAATCCCTGACTAACTGGTGGGGGGAATCTAAAGGTTACATTACATAGGAGGTCAAAGTGAATTGTGTTTTGGTCTTTCTCTGACTAAATTTATCAAACATCTCCAGAAAAGGTCCAGATAGGACAGCCATGCAAAGGAAATAAGTTTGCACAGCATGGGAGACACTCCATTGTTGGGACTGACTAAAGGCACAAAGCATTTAATAAGAACCTTGCTGTTACCTTTTTCATGGCAATAGTAGGGGATTTGGCCAGTTAATCAAGAGAACCACAGGGGATAACTGCGAAAGAACTGGAGAGGTCTACTTTTGTCAGTGGCTTTTTCCACTACTTTTAGTTTCTTGGTTTTTGTTTTCTCCAAAATGTAAATTTTAGCAAAGACGGTAAATGCCAGTCAAGCTCGATTTACTGAGAAAAGTGTTTATGTCCATTTTGCTTCAAGTATGGCCAATAATATCATTCAAGGAAGCGTTTAAAAAAAATTAATCTCAAACATATTTGAATATTTTTCATGTGGACTATGTTTGATCAACTGGTGAATTTAAAACCTGTTATGTCTCTATTTTTTTCCCCCTTGATCATGAAGCTTGAACAGACTCTGCCCTGTTCTATGAAACTGATGCTGGGACCGGGTGGAGGGGGAAGCTGCTAGTGGTTTTTGGCTTAGTAAGAGGGAAATGACTTACTACTTACCTCTCCCAAGTTCACTTCTAAAGAAACATGCTGTTTTATATACATCCTGTTCCAAATGTTGACCTTGTCCAGACAAAGTACAAGTACAAACTAGATTAAGTCAGAAATTCAGGCCCATGCAGAAACCTAATACAAGTGAGTGTTCAGGCATAAGCAAGGTCCAGATGAAAGCAGAACCTTGGACAGCTCTTAGTTAAAGTTAGGCTAGACTCCCTGAGCATGGCTCAGATGTTGCTTTAGTTGCAATCCAGAGTTCATAAAAGTTTTTAATATGCTGACACTCAAGCTAAGTGGCTTGCCTTGTTCACACCAGGGAAAGCCCTCCTGTATTTACTTGTATTTATCGAAGGACTTGCGTGAGCATTGACTCAATAGTGCAGGAAAGAGGGTGGCTCAACGACACGAAAGTGGAAGTAAGGCGAGCTGTAGGAGCTCCTAAGGCTCCAGGCCCTGGGAGACATGGAATCTTCTGGAGTCTGTGCTGTGAATGAATTCCTGTCCCAAACCACCACTTCGGTGAAGTCTGTTGCCTCACCCTTCACCGGGGGAAGTCATGACACTGTGCAGGCAGAAGCAGAAATTACAGCTCAGGACTGATTTGGGAGATCACCGAAGAAAAAGGCATGTCAGTTTTTGTCCCATTTGGCCTATTTGTGATTTTTATTATCCCTTCAGGTTTGCCAGGCAAGCTGGAAAAAGTGCATCCTCTTCTAGGGGCCATAAATACCACCACGTCAGGAGCTAGATATGCTGAAGAACAAAATGGCTGCTCTTGAACTGTGACATTTTTCAGTGTTTTCTAGAACATGGCTACAGTTGTGCTTTTGAAACAGTTTTCCAGCCCTAGACTGTGTTTTAAATATCCATGCCTGTGAGCTTTTTCCTTGTGGACTGTGATTTCTTCCCAGTGCTGTAAGAATAATATCACTAACCAGTTGTTATTCACTCTAGGTCTCAGTTCCCACAGCCCTGTGTACAACTGCCCTCTTCTGCCACCCACCCCTGGAACAAGTAGATAGATACCTTTATTTGGCAGTGCTTAAGTGAAGGACCTTGTGAAATGGAAAGGTCTCTGATTTAGCAGTACTGACACTAGCAGCTATCATGAAGTGTTCATGTTTGACCTGCTGCAATGTTCAAGCCTGTAAACATTTATTTTTATTTACCACATTAGAGAACCCCATGAAGCCTCTTACATTAAAACCACTCGTATGCTTTCCAGAGGTTAAAAAAAAAGTGAACAACTGGAAAGACCATAGCTTTGACTATATGAACTTTTGTTGCCAGGGTGATGTCTCTGCATTTTAATATGCTGTCTAAATTTGCTGTCTAGATTTCCTCCCAAGAAGCAAGCATCTTTTAATTTCTTGGCTGCAGTCCCCATCTGCGGTGATCTTGGAGCCCAGGAAAATAAAATCTGTCACTATCTCCATTTCTTCCCCATCTATTTGCCAGGAAGTGAGAGGACCGGATGCCATGATCTTAGTTTTCTTAATGTTGAGTTTCAAGCCAACTTTTGCACTCTCCTCTTTCACCTGCATCAAGAGGCTCTTTAGTTCCTCTTCACTTTCTATCATTCATAAGTAAATAAATAAATAAATAAATAAATAAATAGAGTGGTATCATCTGCATATCTGAGGTTATTGATGTTTCTCCTGGAAATCTTAATTCCAGCTTGCAATTCATCTAGCCCAGCCTTTCATATGATGTACTCTGCATATAAATTAAATAAGCTGGGTGACAATATACAGCCTTGCTGTACTCCTTTCCCAATTTTGAACCAATTAGTTGTTCCATATCAAGTTCTAACTGTTGCTTCTTGACCTGCATACAGGTTTCTCAAGAGAGAAATAAGATGATCAGGTACTCCCATCTCTTTAAGAACTTGGCACAATTTGTTGTGATCCACAGATACAAAAGCTTTAGCATAGTCAATGAAGCAAAAGTAGAATTTTTTCTGGAACTCCCTAGCTTTCTCCATGATCCAGCATTTCTTGGCAATTTGATCCTGAGTTCCTCTGCCTCTGCGAAACCCTGGTTGTACTTTTGGTAGTTCTTGGTCCACATACTGCTAAAGGCTAGCTTGTAGGATTATATGATATATACTGTATTATAATGGGAAAGAGGGCCTTTTCCGCAAAGGGCTCACATTTCTGGAATAAGTTGCCAGCAGAGTCCCCCCAGGACCCATCACTGCAGGATTTTGAGATGGCTCCTGAAAATGTTTTGGCTTTCCCCTAATTATGTGCTGGCAGACTGGGTTGTACCTGTTGTTATGTGGGGAGGGGGGGTGTTTCTGAACATTTTCTTCTGTTGGCGTTTTCACTGTGTTTCTGTTGTACTATGTTTCAGCAGAATTGCCACATCAGTTTTTATTATGTGGTTTACTGTATTATTTATTAAATGCTGCCTTAGAAGGACCCCTGCCTTGAAGGGCAACCATGAAATATTTTAAATGGATAAATGCAATGAAAATTAATATTCACATTACAATAACTTTCAACTTTAATTATCATATTTTAATCTGCCCTATAATCAATGTTCCCTGGACATATTATAAATAGTAAATGATTAAAATCCCATATTGTCTTGAAAGATATTTTTTATATTGTCTACTTTCTTTCTGCACTTTCACACTTCACTTTTTCTGTAAATAATAATGTTTTTTACCTTTTAAGTAGTGAGACTGCCCATCACTTCTGAGTTATTCCATCTGTTTTATTTATTGATCTATTTATTTTTCAGAAAAAGAGACTTTCTTGGATCCTTTTGTGTTACGGGATCTCCTGCCAGCATCTTTGGGAAGTTACTATCGGTATACGGGGTCTCTGACTACCCCGCCATGCAGCGAAATTGTGGAATGGATTGTCTTTCGCATGCCTGTCCCCATCTCTTATCGCCAGGTAGGTTTGTATTGCAAAGCCTTTGCCTAGTTCACCATTTCCTTATCCTTAATTTTTCCACCAGTTCTTGATTAAGTTAATCTATAGCTAGATTTCAAACTATTTCTTTTTATGTTTGGCCTGGCTAACAACACTGAATTATTTTTAGAGTACAAACACAAAAAATATAATTTGTAGAAAAGAAAGCTAGCTAAATTTTGTTTATTATTCTCTTAACATGAGCCACTTGACACAAGAAGATAATAGAACATGACATCCTATTTCCTTCCAAATGATCTTAGCTATTATCATTCTGTTCAGATACGTTTAAGCTGTGGTATAAATATTTACATAGAATTCATTCTTCTTTTTCTTTCCTGATGTTTCTTCTGTGAAGCTCAACTTAAGTCATTAGCTATACAGACACAGATTTAGTAGTTTGAGCTAAGTTTGTGCATAAATCAACACTTTCATTGGTTTACCATTTTGGGCTGTTTTTCCAATATCATGAAGTTCCCATTATGCATCTCTCCTTAAAATGAATACACAGGAGGCCTTGCTGTAGATCAGGGGAGTGAGTGGCATTTTAATTGAGAGTAATAACCTGGGAATATGCAGCTAAGTGTTTTAACAATTAAAAGGGCTTTGACATTTAAAACCTTTGTTTTCAAAATGTCTTCTTGCTGAAATGTGTTCTGCCTTTTATTTGTTCATGTTAATACACCTCACTGCAGCAGAGGTATCTTGGAGCATAAGTGTTCATGTAAAAAGTCACAGATTTATCTGAATAAATGAGTGTAAATACTTAATAACCCAACAGGATAGGCATAAATGAATGCATTGGGCCATCAGTTATCCTATGTCTTCTCAATCATTTACTCAGAGAATGTCCCAAGATCACTGGCTTTTCCACAGATATTTGTACTTTACTGCTGTTCGCCTCTACTGATGTCAACGAATAGATTAAATAAAATGAACATTTTGCCAGTGGACTTCAGGGTTTTAGAGTTGCTGGTTTGTTTTCCTGGACATTTAAAAAACTGAATAATTCCAGCATCAGTCTAGTTGTTTTCAAATTAAATGCCAACAAATGTCAGCTTCTGTATAGTCCATGTGCCAGGGTTATAACAGTCCCAGAGACTTAAGGGAACAGTTCACAAATTCTGTGTATCTAGTGGATTTTACCAACCCTTGGTGAATCTTCCCATGTTAATTTTAGAAGTGTCCAGCTGGTATAGCATTGATAGCAAATGACCAAAGCTGTTTCATGGTGGTCTTTTTGTAGAGCCATAAAAATAGCCATTCTTTTCCCCCATGCTGTCTTGCAGCAGAACAAGTGAAACAAATGAGGAAGGGAAAAATATTGCAACAAGATGCATTTTATAGCCCAATTCATAGTTATAGCTTTCATAGTGTATACTTTCAAATGAATTTCTGTGGTTACAATGGACCCATTGCTTTTAATCAACCTATAACTTCCAAAGCTTTTCTCCTCAGATTCTTGTGAGCATCTAGTTACCTAATTTAATTTAGATCCTTTGCTCCTTAATAACATCTCAATCTACCACCAATAGATATTAAATGGATTGCACCATTTTGTTTGTTCTTGTTACATGATGTTAAGCCTTCTTCAAATTATGGTGACCCTATGAATGAATGTCTTCCAGAATGCCCAGTCTTTGTAATTCAAGGTGGTGGCTTCCTTTATGGAATTGATCCATCTCATATCAGGTCGTTGTCGTCATCGTCCTCCTCCAACTTTCGCTAACATTATTGACTCTTCCAGTGAGTCTTGCCTTCTTAAGATGTTCCCAAATTATGACAACCCCAGTTTTATCATTTTTGCTTCCAGGACAAGTTTTATTATTTGACTTTTGTTGAACTGGAGATCATCCCCTCCTTGACTGCTACTCTGTCAACACATTTAGATGCTGCTAGGCCCCAGGATTCCACTTGGGCTGAGATTGGACTGTATACTTTCTCTACTGCTTCTACCACATATAGGAAATAATTAGTTAACTCGGAGATCCAGTATTTGAATAAATGGAAGAACTTCTGGTTCATTTACTGCCTTCTACATGCTGTGAGAGGAGAAAGTGATGGAGCTCATGGTCTGCTTCTGAGCATACCCCAAGCAGAACTACTCATAGAGCTGTAGTATGGAAATGAAATTAAATAAATAATCATAATCATCCTGGGTCCAATGGAATGTCTGACTAAATCCAGAGATTTCCTGAATCAAAGGGAGAATGTTAAAAGACCAGAAATGAGAGTCTCATGATGTCTATACTTTAATCAATACATTAACACAAACAAACACTCAAGTCTTATATCAAATAGTTCTGAAAAGAGTTCTCAAAAATTTGAATTACCTGGTAAAGTAGTAGTCGTCATCCCAGAAGAATGGAGCTGATAAAATCATTTGAAAGTGAGAGCATTTAAAATACTCAAGACTTATTAAAATGTCTGCCTGAATGAGTTTTTCTTTTACCTAACACCTAAAAGTTTGGCATCAAGTATACTAATTGAGGAGTGCATTCCATAACTGGTCTGCTACTTCCGAGGAAGCCCTTCTTCTTTCAGTTTGGAGATGCTTTGGGACTTCAAGTACTTGAGTCCAAAGCCATTTAGGGTTTGGAAGGTAAGCACCAGCCGGACCAGTTGGTATGGCTGGCCCTCTTTCAGAGCTTAGCCTTGTGGCTACATATGTGCCTTTCCCTCAATTTAAGGCCAGCTCAGGAATGTGAAGTGAAATCCCACAGAATCAAGCCTTCTTAGTGGCAAGCAGGAACACCTCTTTGTCCTCCTGAGTTGAAGATGCCCTGCACCTGGGGAAGGTTATGCCCTCAGGGCTCAGAAGCAGTCCTCACGTCTCTCCCTGAGAGAGGTGGGACCTCCCTCCAAGGTCCCCAGCAGACTTCCAGCTTCATGGCAGAGAAGCAGACTCCATTGTGGCTCCCATATTGGCACAATAGTCATACCCCCAAAAGAGGTCATGTCTCTTCTTCTCAGGGAGACTGGAAGGCAAAGCATTGTACCTTGAAGAACAAGGGCTCTTCTGTTCTAGCCCTTCCCACTTCAGAAAAGTGTTTGTCATTCTATGGCTGCAAGTTTTCAATCTTTATACAAAATATTTCACAAGGCAGAGTTTGCAGAGTTTCATATGCCTTTCTAAGATACATAAAATGTCATTCTACACATGCATGCACAGTACATACCTTGGAAAGCATATTGAAATTTTTTATCGTTGGATCTGGAAATGTATTAGAAACTAATACATGTTGATATGTAACAACCAGATGTTTTCAAGGACCTGAATGTTTTGGGTAAAAATCACAAATGTTTCATCAGTTTCATTCAAGCAGAAAATTCTTCAAGCAATGGAAACTAAATGAACATTTTAAGTATTTGTCAAAAACAATCTGCAAGCCATTTCTTTTCTTTGCATTGCATATCACTTTCCTTTATCTAGCCTCTTCCTCCTAAATGGACTTAAATGCAGGTGATCATCCCTTTTAAAGTAATTTGGAGAGGGAAATGGATGCAAAAGGACTTTTGACAACCACGTGGTTCAGTGTTTACAGCAACATTCCCCAGCAGGTATGCTCTAGATGTGTTGAACTACAGTCCCCATTACCACAAGTCAGCATCACCATGTTGCCTGGGAATGATGGGATCCGTACTCCAACACATGCCAAAGGCACCAGGTTGGAGAAGGCTGCCTTAGATCATCCGGCAGTGGGAAAGACAGGAGTTGTATTTCCATGTATCTGCAGAGTGACCATATGCAGGTAGTTTTTCCTCACATTCCCCCCCATATTTTGTCTGTCTGGAAAGGTAACTTTGTTATCTTTGTGTAGCAGGGTCCAGCTTTTATAGTATGTGCAGCCTGTGGCACAATAGGTCCCTCCACCCTAGGAACTGCTGGGCTTCTGAGATACTGCGGTAAATGTGAATAATGGTGCTGAGCCATGATTTATGTTATGCATGGAATGAATGCATGCCCCTCTTCAGTAGCATCATAGTAAAACAACAACATAGCAGAGCATAAAACAACAGAGAGGGCAGCTTCTATCTGTAAGCACATACTGTAAATAGAGGCTAGGAAATCGTCTTTTTCTCGCCTCCCTCAGACATTAACTTTGTAGAGGCTTTCTGAAGTGTTTTCTCTGCTGCTTGGCAGGATAGAAATTGGGCTAGATAAGGCTGTTGGCAATGATTTCAGCGGGCAGCCTGGTTTCCTGTTTGATTTATCAGTCTTGGCATCAGCACTTCCTGCCATTTTGCATTCTTATCAGCTGCCCAGATTTTACCACATTGTTTTTTCTAATTAATGTCCTCTTCTTTTTTGTGTGTGTGCCTTCTCCTTCATCCTGATGGCCGCGCTCAGCTGGAAGCATTCTATTCCATATTTACCACAGAACAGCAAGACCATGTCAAATCCGTGGAATATCTGAGGAATAATTTCCGGCCTCAGCAGAGCCTGAACAACCGGGTAGTTTCCAAGTCTGCTGTGAAGGATGCTTGGAACCAAGTCACAACCAGCATCTTTGAAAACCCACTTGGCACTGAAGCTTCCAAAGGTAGGCATGGGGTTGCCCATTCAGAACAAGGGGGAGTGGCTCTGCTTTTATTTTTTGCAGTGGATATTCAGGAAGGAATGACTGGGGAGTCCTACATACCGCCTTGCATTTTCTTTGAATGGACTTGGTTTAAAACTTTTTTTTTTAGATGAACCATTCAGTGAACTACTCAGAGGCTTTTTGGCTTCATCTAAAGCAGAAGGGGAAGGTGAGGGCAAGATAACAGGGTACATCATTAAGCAGAGAGGCTCTTCCAGGCTTCTGTATCCATATCTGAACAAGAAACATTGATATAACAGTGATGCTGAGACGGTTTCACGCTGCCTTGGTAAATAGGAGGACCTGCTAGCCAATGAGACCCTGATTTTACACAACAAAGACAAATATTATGGTTCTGGCATTTGGAACATGACCCGCCCACCTGCCCCATTTTAAATCCTGTTATCTGATGTAATACAGACTCCATTACTTCTAGCTGAGAGACCACTGCAATTAAGCAAATGCCTTATTCTTGGAGCAGTTGCTGCTTTGCTAGCTCCAGGGACGTTGCTGCCACTGTAGGCTTTCTGATGGGGCCATTTTTGCTGAAAAGCAGAAATCCTACAATGAAGTGCACTCTCCACTTAAGTCGCTTTTTGAACTTGTCGTGTTTCTTCAGTGCTGTTGCTTCTGCTGCCTTAGTTTGCAACAAACAAGATGCACCTTACTGAACAAACGCTACTTTAATCAGTTAATGAATTACTCATGCACCTCTCTTTTTAGCCCTACTGGCTCCCAGAGTAGCCAGCAATTTGATAAATAAAATTTATCAAAAGGGGAAGTACATATCTGTTGGAGTGCATTCACTCCATGTGATATTAGAAACACTGCTTTGTGGTTTGTCCTAGGAAAACATACCAACCAAGCTTAGACATAAACAAAACAAGCAGGGCTTCTTTTCCCCAAGGAGCCCAGGCAGAGAGAGGCTCCTGGAGATTTGTTATTCACTCCTCATGCACCGACACATATGTGCGCATAAACAATAGCTTTGGGAGAAGCAATTGCAAGCACAAGTGAGCTTGAAGAATATTTTTAATCAAAAAGTGTTGTGTGGCTTAGGCCCAGTAATGACTCTGCAGTTATGAGTACTTGGAACTGGTGTTATTTCATCGTCAGGAAGCATTAATATTTATTAGCTGTGGGTTGCTCACCTCAGGGCACTAATGAAAGATAATAGCTTACATTATAAGAAAGTGTCAAAATGGACTTGTTTTTATTTTGAGAGCAGTCCAGGTACCTTGGTAACATGTTGCACAGCATTACCAAGGCTATACCATCTTGGGTGATTGCCTGATCAGCCCTCATCTAGATAGCTAGAGCAGATGTGATCTTTGGTTGTTTTTCATTCCTTTCCATTGAGGACTTCATGCTTCCAGCTTCAGGAAAGAACGCTCTGAAGCACAGCCCAGGACCAAATCCCTTTGGGGTCAGCATTCTCAGTGGAAAAGGCATTCCATTATGCAGCTGCTGTGCAAAAGGCAAACTCCATGCTAGGCCTAAGTAGGAAAGATGGCACCCCCCTGACACATATTTATGGTACCACCACATTCAGAATGCCATGCACAGACTCGATTACCACTCACAAAAGGGGATATTATGGAGTGTGAAGAATGATCAAGGGGTTGGAGCGGCTCCTCTAGGAGAAAAGGTTGCAATATCTGGGATTGTTTAGCATAGAAGAAAGCTGAGTGAGGAGAAATATATAGAATTGTACAAAATCATGCATGGTGTGGGTAAAGGGAGATATTTTTCTTCCTTTCCCATAATATTAGAATCCAGGGAAACTGATTGTTGGGAGATTCAGGACACATAAAAGGAAGTGCTTCTTCATACAGCACTTAGTTGATAGATGGAATTCACTTGCACAGGATGTGGTGATGGCCATCAATCTGGATGGCTTTAGGTATACCTACCCAGACCCTTAGATCATCTACCAAGGTCCTTGTCTGGGAGCCACTTCTGAAGGAAGAAAGAAGGTGGCTATGAGCAGAAGGGCCTTCTCTGCTGTGGCACCTTGTCTATCGAATCAGTTCTCCAGGGAGATGTGCATGGCGCCGACATTATCTATGTTTTGGTGCCTAGTTAAAACTTGCCTTTTTCTCACTGTGTTTGTTGATTATATTATTTTGTGTTTTATTGGCTTTTAAATTGTTGTGTTCCATGTGAAATAGTTGCTATTATGTATTGCTTTGTTTATTATTTGACTGTACGTGCCTGAGGAATTTGATTGTTAATGGAGGTTTTATGACAGGCCTGTCTGTTTTACTTTTGTTTTTAAATTGTGTATTACACAGCATATTTTAATATTATTTTCCACACAGTTCTGAGAGGATTGTGCTAATCAAAAGGTATGGAAATGCTTTAAATATAAATATAAACAAAGGTAGATTTGCCAAATTCGATGAGGAGGATAAATCCATCAGTGGTTACTAATCCCAACAGCTCTATGCTACCTCCAGTTATCAGAGGCCTATATAAAATAGTTGCTGGGGAACATGGGCGGGGGGATGCTGTTGTGCTCATGTCCTATTTGTGGCTCTTCTGTGGGCAGCTGTTTGCCCACGGTGTGAACAGAATGCTGAATCAGGTGGATCCCATGCCTGACCCAGCAGAGCTGCTCTTTCTTTCTTTCTTTCTTTCTTTCTTTCTTTCTTTCTTTCTTTCTTACTTACTTACTTACTTACTTATTTATTTTCGGCTTCCCTCGGCACTCCATTTCCCATTCTAAAAAATTGAAATGCCTCCTGTAGGACTTAGTTACTGGCAGTCAGAGGTTGGTATTTTGGCCCCAAGGGCATTTACTTTGGTGCCTACCTGCTGACGAAAGGGGCTTAACATCCCTGGTCTAGGGAGGCGGTACACAAGGCACACAAAGCTACTCCAGACCAGGTGTGAGCCTCCTTCCTCTAGTGAGAAAGAGGGTATCGGAGCTGCTGGCACTGGGAACTTTCAGAGGGGTTTGCCCTGCCTCATATGATGAGACAACTGGGACTAAAGATCGGATGGGTCCTCGGGCTCTAGAGTGACTCCAACCACATGGTCAGCTGCATCGGCTTTCCCAAACCTTTTAGGACCTGGAAGGCTTGGTCTTTGTAACCTTCAGCTTTGGCCATGTTTTCCTGGCAGCTTTGGCTTTTGTTCTGCCAGGACTTTCTCCATGACCTACCTGCCTACCTGTTTTCCTGGATTTCCCCTCTGCCCCTCCTGGTCTTGTGTCATCCTTATTTCCCCTCTGCCAGCTTTCTAAAGCTGTCTTAGGCTTATCATCACAACAAAGTGTTCTTTGCTACCGAGATTGCCCATTTTCTCTTCTTGCTTTAAAGGGCAAACAACAGTTGCTGTAATTGTGCCGTAACTCTTTCCCAGCGGGCCGTTCGTGTGATGAATAGTGAGCAATGGATGCTGGTCTTTGCCCCAGACAAGATGCTAATTATATATGTAGTCAAAATGTGGGAGATATGACAAAGGTTCCTTTTAGATATAAAGAAAGGATGTACAGTAAAGCAAGCATGTTTTTCTTTAGTATTTATTTTTCATGTATGCAAGCTGCTCGTTCTTTAAGGTGCTGAGGACAGCTGGACGTAACCAGTCTTCATCCTCTGATACATTTTATGCTGAAAGATGGTGACTTGACCAATGCTACCTGGAGAATGATCCAGTACAGATCATAAGGTGTTCTACTGTAATGGCTGCCCAGAGGGCATATTGCTAACAGGAGACTTTTAAACAAATTCAATTAATTATTAAATAAAAAGTGTTAAGGTGGGGAAGTCTTAGTACTTGAGAAGCTTTCCGACTTTGCAAGTCAAATACTTAGCAGCAAGAAAATATTCACTTGCTCTGCATGCCTACACTTTTCTCAGTAAGGTTGGCAAAGCAGAATTGTGGTAAGAAACCTTACTGTTTGGTAAGATCGCTGTTTATACCGTGCCAACTTGCACAGTGGAGTAGGGATGAGATCCCAAATTTCCCAAGTCCAGGATCAACTCTCTACACGACCCTAGCTCTCTTAACTGAAACTACCAAGTTTCATTATAAAGTGCCTAGTCAACGGCTTTTGAAGTCTTGGACAAGATACGTCACTTTGATTCATACTCCCCATACAGAACATTAAATAGCTGACAAATACCATTCTGTGCAAAGCCATCTCTAGGGTCTGATTCACACAAAACATCTTTGCATGGTTAAGGCTATTGACCCAGTTGAATGATTGCAGTGATGCTGGGAAGTTAACAGTTGCAAGCATATTGCATGCAGCTTCCTGTGTGATTCTGTTGCTCAGCCCAAATTGAAAAACTTTTTTGGCAGCCAATGTGTCATTCCCTTTGAGGATCGGGAGATGAAGCATTTGCAGCAGCTGACAATGAAATTTACTGAGAGGCTATTCTCTCAGTCCACTGGCTCCATGTTCAGTGTGTAGCTGTCAGGGTGGGTTGTTGAGCATCACCACTGGATGAAACCTGGAGTTTGTTTGTAAGGCACGCAGTTCACAGACCACTGGCAATCCCAGTAAGAGAATAACTGCTCTGGCCTTTGTCCTGGGACATATTCTCCCCATGAGCTGCAGCAAATGGCAGTCTAGTTATCTTCCTTAATAGAAGCAAGCCATAGTAGCTTTTGCCATCATGCATGTCCTAAAAGTGTCATCACAACGCCCTTGTAAGTTACTCAATAATGCACCATGGAGCAATCTGTGCAACACAACAGCCCATTGTAAGTTAATTTATCAGCAAGGAGCTGTAGCACATACCAACCACCCTTATAAATTTACATGTCCTGGCAAATTCTGTTGTGCAAACCTGGTCAGTGGGGATTATTTGAGGGTTGAACTACCCTTAAAGGTAAAGGTTTCCCCATGGCATTAAAGTCCAGTCATGTCTGACTCTTGAGGGTGGTGCTCATCTCCGTCTCCTAGCCGAAGGAGCCAGCGTTTGTCCTCAGACAGTTTCCGTGGTCATGTG